AGGTTTCCATGAATTGTGCCTTGCCTTTAAGATTAGTATAGTTCAATTATATTTAATTGATAATAGAACAAGCTCAGGTTCGACCATGCGCAAAAGGAAACGAATCCCAGGCTAAAATTTTGCATCTCATTCGCTTAAAGGAGTCAAATCTCAAAGGCTGGAAGATATGGACAGCATTGTTACCTGCTTAAACATGAACGGAAGAAAGTTCTTAAACTAGGATCCGCATCATGTAGGACCACTTCTCCAAAATCAAGAAAAAATTGAAGGATAGTCTGCAAAAGGATAGAAATATAAGAAGGATCAGTGTTAAAATTCCTAGTTATATCAGCAGATCAAAATTTAGTCAAATTGTAAGAAATAAATTGTTTCAATATGTAGACAATACGTAAAGTCTACTTGATGGATGACTTAGGGTTCATTGTCCTGCAATAAGGAGTCAATTGCCGGTAGGTGTGGAAACAAATCGAATTTGATCGAATACACTTACATTCAAATTCATATTCGGTTTTCTCTATCGAATACGAATCATGTCAAATAGGTAAGAGGCGTTCAAATTCAATTCGTTTAATTAAACCATTATTCGGTAGGTATTCACGAATACTTGTTAGCACACTTGGTTGAGGGATTTGGCTCTTTAACTTGAGATCATGGGTTCGGTTAAATTATTTATTTTGCTTTCTCTTTAAATTTTGCACAATTAGATGATGATTATTATGATATGTCACAACTAAAATTATTAAATTTATTTATTTATTAGTTATTAATTTATATTTATTTATTAGTTATTAATTTATATATATTTATCAATAGTAATATTTATAATGTTATATAAGTTAAAAAGTTAGTTTAATGCACTAATGTAGAAGTAGAAGTAGAACAATATCTCATTATAGATTTCAAATCTATATAAATCCATTTTCTAGCAAAGTTGTTTTAGCAACATAATATTAATTAAAGTTAGAATAAGAATTTATTTCTTATAGATATTTTGTTATGATATATGTCGTCATGATGAATATCTCAAGTGTAACTTTAAAGGATAAATAGTTTATGATAAATTAAATTTAGAGGAATAAAATGTAAAGCATAAACGAATATTTAATAATCAACTGAATCGAATATACCTCTGGTTAAATTCTATTCATTTATGAGTCGAATACTAAACAATATTCATTTGCTATTAAATGAACTACCAAATCGAATATGATTGAATATCTAAACGAATAATAACTAAACAATTTATTAACTATTTGGTTCATTTCCACCCCTAATTGCCGGTTCATTTGAGATTTGGGTACCATCCATCTAATGTCTACGTTTTCGGGGTGAGTTCTTATAGGTCTTTAACAAATTGTTTCGGGATCAACCAAATTTTCTTGTTGCAAGTGAGCGGTGCAGGCATTCGAGTGCAAAGCTAAAATAATGACTCAGGTTTCATAGCATTCAACATGATACTGGTATGATGCAAAACCAAAGGGACGACGTCACTATTGCAGTGTTTGAATCAGAGTAGAGTAGTGTGAAGCCGACACTAAGAAAACAAGATTTGTTTTCTTTTTAATGTGCAAGCCAAGCATTGTTTTATCTTTTCTTTTCTTTTCTTTTCTTTTTAAGAGATTTAGATTCTCTCCCTCAAAAAACTAGCTTTTTCGAGTGAGCTCTCTAGCTAATAACTCTGCCCCAACAGTAAATAGTAGCCTAATGTATGATAGATTTATAAACCTTAACCAAGTGATTATAAAAATATCTTACAATGGAAACTAATTATAAATAGGGTGTTCACTGAAAAAAAAAATCCAAATTTTACAAAAACCCACCAATAATAGCAGTCCATTGGAGGCCTGTGACTGGGGCGACGCCGAGATCGCCCTCTGAAATAGCTTGTTTAGCTGCGGATAAGCTCTGGCGACCAAATCCTCGGACCCCGATTCCTTGCAAATCTCGTTAATTTTTTTAACCTAAAAATGGGTAGAAACCAAAATTAGAGAGAATTAGAAGAGGGGAAACTGCAAAGAAAAGGGATTAGAGATGAGTACCGATTGGAGAATGTAGGGGTCTGAAGCGGGGTCTCCGGCGGCGGCGGAGTCTCTGGCGTTGGCGGAGAGAGATCGGAGGTGGAAGTCCCAGTCGCTTTCTTTTGCCATTTTCAGATTTTGGGAGGTCTACTTTGAGAAGGGGAAATCTGTAATTTGCGTGGGTTTCGTTGAGGAGAGAATTTGCACTCTGGACCCTGGTGACTTATAAATTTGGGCCACTCTCGTGCTAATTTGTGAGGATATGCGCGAGGATTTTTATGATTTTTATGCAAAGTAGCAGGTTTCCACGTGTAAGTTATTAAAGATAATTATTTTAAAATTTTGTCTGAAAATTTAATATAGTTACAAGCTAGATTTTGATAAATGAAAAATTATTTTTATCTTTTTTTATTTACGATTTGACTTTATTAATCAGAATACAAATTTATTATGTTTTCTATTATCTATGTCATTTTGAACTTATCATTTATCTATAAATTTTAGATATAATCACTTGAAAGTGTATACATGTTTATAATTATTTATTTGTGTGGTTTTGAAAAATAACTAATAACATTATCAGAAAGTGCTTGTGTGTAATATTTTTTGTAAATAGAGAGAAGAATAATATTCCTTTTATCTAAATAAAATATTAACAAATTTTTCTTAAAGTTTTTAGACATACTGCATTTCAAGTTACAATTTTATAGTTTTGGACTGATGCACTTAAAATAGTAGAAACCATTCAAATGATTTCAAAAAAAATTGGTGTTGTAAATTTTATTTGCATGAAAAAAAAATAAACACATGCGAGTGCTTGCGCACATATATGTGCGTGTGTGTTTTTGTTAGAAGTTAGATGTAATATTAGAAGTCAATTGTTTTATAATTTTCAGTTGACACATATTTGTGTATTTTATATTTGCATCATTTGGCTTAGAGCATCTCCAACCATAAAACCCAAAATGGTGTAGTTTTTACACCAAGTTGGTGTAGTTTTTACACCAAATCACTATTCCATCTCCAACCCATTACACCAAATGTTACACCAAAAAGAATATTCCTTTTATTATTCTTATCTTTTAACATTTTTATCTATTTAAAAATTTAACAAATTATATAATTATATACTACATTACATATAATTAATTATAATAATATATTTTATGAATAAAATAAAAATATAAAAATTAAATGCTAAATCAAATTAAAATATTACTTTCATAAATTCAACTAAAGATTACATTTAACATCACAAAAGAAAACATCACACTTGCAAGCAAAAAAATAAAAATAAAATAAATGGTGTAGTTTTTCTTATTTCCTAATTTATTGCAATTAGTGTAATTTTTTTGTGTCCTAATTTTTATGTTGTATTTTTTTATCTAAATGGTGTAGTTTTTCTTATTTCTTCATTTGATTCTAGTATTATGAAATTTTAAGTGTTTGGATTAAATTATCTATTTTTTATTGTTTAATGTTATTTTAATAATTATTTTATACTCTAATTTTATTATAATAGTTAATACAAAATAATATATATTATTAATACAACTATAAAATTAAAAGGAAAAAAATAACGCTATTGCTACAGTGTTGCGCCATTCTTGGCGCAACACTGAAGCACCCCTCCAAAATAGCGCCCATTTTGACGCTACGTTGGAGGGGGGAAAAGGGTCCAAACAGCGCCAAAATGAAATTTTGGCGCTGCATTGGAGAAGCTCTTATAGGTTTCATTCCTTGAAAATTAGGATTAATAAATTAATGCATATTTTATTAATTACTTACTTTTTTTATAAAAGATATGTGGCAATTAATTTTGAGAGAGGAAAGGGAGAATGAGAGGCAAGCTGGAGGACAAGGACAAAAATGATGAGAAAGTTATGAGGAAATTGAGAGAATAAGGACAATAAAGATTTGAAGGACACTTTACTATATAGCAACTCAAGTTGGTTTTTGGTATAACAGTACACTAGTATGTACCCCGTGCCAAGCACGGCCCTCGCCTCTTTTCTATCATTGCACTTGAAACACCCTTCCTCTTTGTTTTAATTACATATTATTATTGTACAATTGAACTTATAAAGCATATTAAACTTTATGTTTAAACGAATTTCCCATATGATACGTACATGAAGTTGCTATAAATTATTCCATTGTGCTGATAGGCACACGTGTCTATTGTGACTTATTGCCTAGTTAATCGAGAGTAATGGTTGAGTTTCTAATTCTTGAACTTGAAAGTATAACACTTTGATTTTTAGGAGATTGATGGCTCGAAACACAAACATCTAACTGTCCTAAAGATATGGCATACAACGTCGCAACTAATGAGTTAGTTGAAGTCATTAAGGATAAAAGACTGCAGCATCATGTTTCAAAGTCATGGCTCCAAAGAACACTGCTAATGAGATTGCATTTTCCGCAATAAGACGTAGCCGAATCAACAATCATTTAACATTAGTCGCAAACATATAAAAAGACAATCTGTATACTTAGTTACTAATCAACCAAATTGCAGGAACAGACCCAAACCAAGAAGAAATACTTGTAAATTTAAATTTCTATAATGTAGGAATTTAATTAGGAAAAAGGAACAACATTAAAAGACATGTTAATAAGAACATAGTTAATTAAAATTTCATATATATATATTATTTCAAGCAAGTAGATAAGAACACATGCGCCGTATCAAATATTCGATCATTTTAATATTCAACTTACTTGGAAGAAGACACATAAACCTGATTGAGAAGGATGCGGCTAGATTGATGAGAAGACCCATGCAAGCCTAAAAACTGCAAACCTGACCAACAAAAAAGATAAGGAATTGTATCAGAATTAAAATTAGCCACAAACTTATGGCACCAAGAAATAAGATAAATCGAGCATATATATCAGCTTATCATGCCTCAGAGTTCCTAAGAAAAACATGAGATATGAAGTATTTTTAATACTTACGTAAACAAAAGAAATACAATAAAAATGCCAAATGACTCCAAATAAGTAGCAATATTCTTCTCCTATACATTGGTTTTCTTCTGAGGACTGCTTTTTGAGGTCTTATATTTCTGAGACACTCAGCTACATATTAAGGACAAAGAGTTGAACAATTGAGATTGTCATAGAGGAAGATTAGAAAAAATAACTGAATTAGTTTCAAATCAAATTGACATAATTTTGTCGATATTCAAACTCATAACTTGATGAAATTGATCAAAAATGATTCTCATTAAGAGATAAATCAATGTTGAATAGAAACAAATGAGAAAATCATGGAACATGATGTGCATGGACCTTCTTGATTAAAAGCATTGAAAACTACTAATGAGCGAACAATCTTAGTTTTGAAAGAGAATTTTCCACATTAGATGAGTAAAAACCTTGAGTTCTTTTAAGGATCCAGTCACTCCGATGGGTCATGAGAGAGTGTATGCTACTGATATATATTTCCAGTCGATACGTTTTGACTTTCCTTTCAACAGCTCTGTTTATACTTCAAAATCTTGGCCATCATGACCAACAAAAAACTCAATTATTCCATATATATCAAATATATAATAAAATATAAAGAATAACAAAGAAAATATAAGGTAAATTCATGATAAATTCTATTTTTTTATTATTGCTAAATTAGCATGTCCAAAAGTCAATGTTTAATTCTTCTTTTCAACGCACTCACATCCCTTTTTGCTGCACTACAAAATCTCCTTTGATCATGTTTAAGTACATTGAAAATATAAATATATAATTAGTATACAAAAGCTCAAAATGTTAGAATTACAAAACCACTAAATTGAACATAATAAAAATTAAAAAAATGAGCCCAAAATAGTTTACAATGAGATCACCATTTTCGCCCATCTTAATTTCAGTATATGTGTCTATTTATTTAGGAATAGGATTGAATATTAGCAAAAAAATTTGACAATTGTAAAATGTGGATCGAATCAACTTGGTAATATTCTAATATGAGACAGTTCTGGGCTTATTGCCAACAAATTATTAATAACCATTGAAACGTTAACTGAATAACAAATAATTACATTAATTTATAATATTAGAATAGAATAATTAAACACATGACACTTTAGTTAAATTTGTACATATGAAAATATTAGAACTTGCAGCTATAAGTTCATAATTGATGATCAAATTCTCACAAGCCTGCTCAATCCTTTCATTCTATA